AGAATAACCTCCTCGGTCTCGAAATGTTGTTTGAAATATAAAAGCCTCGGCTAGCGCCTCGGCTTTTATCTTTCAAACAACATTTCTCGACCTCGGAGGTTATTCTGCAACATTCACGAAAACGCGGACTTTATTTCTTAATTAAAAATCAATTCCAATACATAAATTGAGTAAATCATATTAATAAGAAAACACCAAGTTTACTGGGAATAAACATAGTTTGAAAAACTTGTGCGTGATGTTTTGGGTAAATAAACAGAGCGATGAAGGAGTTGTCTATCCCATTAGTATATAGGTCCTTGCTGTCAACTATCATATGCAAAAAAAAAATATTCTTAGTTCTAAGATTTGATCAATTTTTATGGAGCTCTTCTTCTAAAGGAGATCAAAGTAGTCTGAAAATGGCCACGACCACCAAGTCCTCTTAAACTATAAACTTGGTCTACCATATAGAGATGTACATTTTGAAATAATAATTCCTAAAAATTGATGCTATTTGCTTAATTGTATTGTTAAGTGCAGGAGCATCTATCATATGCATAAATATTTTTTCCCCTTGCTTCTAGGTTTACAAATCCGGTGTCACACACTACTTCAGCATCAAAAAAGCATCCAGAGATTTAGGATACCAGCCAACAATACAGAATGAAATATCTGATGTTTTAGAGGAATACATTCAAAAGGGATTCAAAAAGAGAAAAAGAAAACAGTCGGCCCTTATGTATTATTTTGTCAACCTCATCATAGCTGTGATATTTGCTTCTTTTGTTTTATCTTGGTTGCCAGGAGTAAAATAAACTATAAAATACATGCAATATTTGTTATTTGTGACCATTCTGAAATGAAGAAATTATAGAGCAAGCAAGGAAACATACTTTTTAGGTCACTTGAGTTACTTAGGTGACATAGTTTTGTAAATGTTAATGGGAAAACACACATGTTTGTTATGTATGCAGTACAAGTCTCTCGGTAAAGGAGATGGATTGATTGTCCATTTTGTTTATGGGTGAACAAGTTGAATCCGTGCTATGCATGATTCATGCAGTCACATACAAGGCATCTGTTAGTGTGTTTATTTCAACCAATTTTGGTATATATGTTTGGGTGAAGGGAAACAAAAATTGTGAAATTTATGACCCCTGCCCCCCTGGAGCCTAAGGGATGAGGCTAAAACCACCAATATTAATGCATTCTTTAAAAATATTCTTTACTCCTGGACATCAAGCAGTCAAACTGTTAATTGGCATGATTGTAATAAGCAATGTGTCCTCTACCAAACCAATGAAATTCCTGGCCCCTGGGTCAGGGTTTTTAGTTTTAGGGTTGGGCTATATACTAGTACATGTAGATTACAAAGTGAAAGTTCATTATTGAAACCTTCTTCTCTACTCCTGGGTATTAAACAAATGAAGAGGAATTGTTTCTCTTCCAAAACTTTGAATTTCATGCATATGACCCTTGGGTCAGAGGTTCTGGTGTTAGGTTTGGGCTCTTGATTATTGTGAAAATGCACTAATTCTCTGAAACTCTTCTTCTCTACTCCTGGGTATTAAACTTACTACACACATACTGTATACAGGGAAATATTCGCCCACGTTTTATTTTCGCCCCTTTCGCCCTTACATTGTTTGGGCGAATTTAAAAAGGGGCGAATTAAAAATATACAATATATTTTTTGAAATGAAACTGTGATTGGGCGAATTTAAAACGGGGCAAAATTGGTTGCAAGTGTGAAAGGGCGAAAATAAAACAGAGCGAAAATAACCCCTGTATACAGTAGTTATAATTAGGAATGGTGCCTCTTCCAAAACAGTAAATTTTATGGTGCCAGGGTAAGGGGATCTGGTGTACCTGTAGGGCTATATAAATTGTATAGTGAAAATGCATTCTTCTCCCCAGCTTCTGGGTATTAAGCCAGTGAACTACTTGGTGTTTATATTGTTATGATGAGGAAAAATTCCAAAATTATGAATTGTATGGTCACTGGGTCAGGGGCTCTGGTGTTAAGACAAGGTTATATAAATTAAACATATATAGTGAAAGTGCATTTTTCTGAAAATCTTAAGCTTCCTTGCTCCTGGGCTTAAAACCAGTGAACTATGTACAAAGTTAGTGTAAGGAATAGTGTCTCTTTCAAAATTGTGAATTTTAAGGCCCCAGGGTCAGGGGTTCTAGTGCTAGGGTGAGGTTATTTTGATCATATTTTATTCTTTAAAAAAAAAATCTTCTCTGCTCTTGGGTATTTTTCTGATGAATTTAAGTATATAGTTATGATGAGCAATTTTGCTTCTTCCGGATTTTTGAATTTCAAGGCCCTTGTGTCAGGGGATGGGATGGCCGGGGTAGATTACATACTGAAAATAAATTAATGTTTTAAAATTTGCTCCTTGGTATTAATAAAACATTGATAATGAGCAAATCAGCAAGGTTGCCTTAATTTTCAAAATTGGTGAATTGTGTGTAATCCTGTGGGGTGGAGCACTTTATAGTAACTGGTTATATAGTGGAAATGCATTTTTAGCTCATCTGAGCTGAAGGCTCAAGTGAGCTTTTCTGATCAGAATTTGTCTGTTGCCTGTCGTTGTTAGTGGCATTGTTAACTTTTAATCATCTTAAATTCTTAAGAACCACTGGGCCAATTCCAACCAAACTAATGCCACAAAGTGTTCTTGGGTGATGGGGATTCAAGATTGTTCAAATGAAGGGCCAAGCCCTCTTCCAAGGGGAGATAATTATGAATTAATGAAAAATTAATGTTATCTTTTAAAAATCCTCTTCTCCAGAACCATTGGGCCAGGAAAGATGCAACTCATGTGGAAGCATCCTCAGGTAGTGTACATGTAGATTCAAGTTTGTGGGGCCACAATGGCTAATCAAAGTTTTACCTAGGAATGCATAGGAAAAATCTTTAAAAAGACTTCTCCAAAACCTTTGGACCAGGTAAGATGAAACTCATGGGGAAGCATCCTCAGGTAAATTAGATTCAAGTTTATTCAAATCATGACCCCTGGGGGTAGGGCGGGACCACAATGGCTGATCAAAGCTTAATTTGCATAAGAATACGTAGGCAAAATCTTTTAAAAATCTTCTCAAGATCAGCAAAGCCATATATATATATATATATATATATATATATATATATATACATACATACATACATATATATATATATATATATATATATATATATAATTGATGATATTTGTATGGAAGCATCCTCAGGTGGTGTAGATTCAAGTTTGTTCAAAACATAACCCCTGGGGGTAGGGTGGGGACACAATGGATGATTAAAGTTTAACATAGAAATATATACTGTAAAATCACAAATTTTCGTGGTGTCAAATTTTCGTGGTTTGAGGAAAATCTCTTGGTTTGTGGGGATTTGATTTCATGGATCAAGAATTAATGAGTATATACTTATGTATGTGACATTTTACATTTTGTGGTGGACATGAATTCAAGTTTCAAGAATTCAAGATTCAAGTTTATACAAATCATGGTCCCAGGGGGAAGAGTGGGGCCACAATTGATGATCAAAGTTTAACAAAGCTGGAAATTATATGGGGAAAAATATCTTAAGAACACCAAAGCAATGATTGCTCATATTTCTGTGAAAGCATCCACAGGTAGTGTAGATTCAAGTTTGTTCAAAATCATGACCCCCTGGTTGGAGCCACAATGGACATGATTATCAAAGTTTAACATAAGAGTATATACAAATGTAGGAAAAGAACAGCAAAGCCATGGTTTGTCATATATATTTTGGAGCAACCTCAGATTGTAGTTTTTTTTTCAAATTGTACCCCCCTCTTCCTTCCCCTTCTGACTTTTAGGGGTAAGTCCAGACCACTCATGCAATTAAGCTGTTTAATACTAAAATAATAATTTTTTTCTTTTTTCATAGCCAGTTTTCAGGTGAGCGATTTGGCCTATGGGCCTCTTGTTCTTTGTTTCTCTATATAAAGTCAAATGTAAATGGAAATAACTATTGTTATTTGAACACATGTCGATCGAGTCGCCCGCGTGGCGCAGTGGTAAAAGCGTCTGCTCTATAGAGTCGCAAAGTAAGTATTTGATCCTTGAGTCACGAGGTTAGAATCCCACTTAGGGACTTGGAGATCGTATAAACCGAGGTCCCGTGTCGCATTTGATGCTGGCACAAAAAAAATGCTCAATTGCCCTAAGTGCCAAGTATAAGACAAAATTTGCAGCTCTCCAACGGCAAGTGGTGGCATCCTCTATAAAGGGAACTATCTCTAATGTTACAATGCTGATCAACACACAAAACTCATCATATGCCTAAAAACTGTCAACATTATTCCAAAATTCGACACATTTTAAACATTTTCTAATGGGACAATACTTTCTGATTATTATGCTATTTCATTTTATCCCAAAATAAAAATAATATATAACAAGAACTATATGTTTTAATTTTTATTTCATATTTATTTGAAAAAAATGTTCAAGTACATGTATTAACAATATGTGGTAAATCTTAAAAAAAAAACAGTAAATGTTCAGATTAAAACAAAAATAAAAAGATCATCTTTAAATGAAAATAAAATGAAGTTAATATCAAGAAAATGCCAAAAATATAAATAGATGTCATTAGAAAATAGAAATGCATAATAAAAAGCAAATAAGAAAGAGTGAATTTTCAAAGTAAATGTAGAAAAAAAGTTAGATCTAAAATTTCCAATAAAAAATAGATCTAAATATTTGATGACATGCATTTCAATTCATAATTTATAATCAAAATATATTTACACTGATTCAGGATCAACTATGTACACATAATTATATACAACAAAATACTGAAACAATTACCTGTGCAAGAATATGTCTAAATAATACTTCGAAAAGAATTGTATAACAACTCCACCCACCAAAATTAGACATGTCAGAAGTCAAACGTCAAATTCTTGCACAAGTAAAACTTCCAACACACTGAGGCTTACACACTCAAGGCGCAAAACCTCCTGGTCAGACTCTGAATTTCAATCGATCTCCATTGGAGTCAGCTACAAAACACACAAGGTACTTCATGATATACAAGAATATTTTATGTACTTATTTGTCAATTATAAATAAAGACATTGTTGTACAGGATATGCTCAAAGTATAAAATGCATACCGAAGCAGACTTTAGCCTTTTTGAAGGAGTGAAATGGCGGCGTCGCCTCTTCCGTTTCCCAGACTGGCCCTAAAATCAACAAAAATTATGAGAACTGAATATACATACCCCAGGTACACTAAAATTGGATTTTGGTCTCATGATAAAGATAGATGTGATTAATGCAAAGTAGTATCAAAGGTTGGGTTCATTTAATAAAGCAATGATGGCCATGAGGATTATACCTACCCTTTCACTGACAGCTCTCTGTTCATCACAGGGGTACATGGCATGAGTCTTGACTGTCTTAGAGGGACCAATAGTGACATCATTCTCTGTAGGAGAATGGGAATTAGTAGAATCCTTGACTTTCACAGCCTTGACTGTTCCAGTAGTGACAGCTTTCTCTGTACGAGAATGGGAATTAGTAGAATCCTTCACTTTCACAGCCTTGTCTTTTCCAGTAGTTACAGCTTTCTCTGTACGAGAATGGGAATTAGCAGTATTCTTCACTTTCACAGCCTTGACTGTTCCAGTAGTGACAGCTTTCTCTATACGAGCATTGGAATTAGTAGAATCCTTCACTTTCACAGCCTTGTCTTTTCCAGTAGTTACAGCTTTCTCTGTACGAGAATGGGAATTAGCAGGATCCTTGACTTTCACAGCCTTGTCTTTTCCAGTAGTGATAGCTTTCTCTGTACAAGCATTGGAATTAGCAGGATCCTTGACTTTCACAGCCTTGTCTTTTCCAGTAGTGACAGCTTTCTCTGTACGAGAATGGGAATTAGTAGAATCCTTCACTTTCACAGCCTTGACTGTTCCAGTAGTGACAGCTTTCTCTGTACGAGCATTGGAATTAGTAGAATCCTTCACTTTCACAGTCTTGTCTTTTCCAGTAGTGACAGCTTTCTCTGTACAAGAATGGGAATTAGCAGGATCCTTGACTTTCACAGCCTTGTCTGTTCCAGTAGTAACAGCTTTCTCTGTATGAGTTTTGGAATTAGCGGAATCCTTGACTTTCACAGCCAGCTTGTCTTTTCCTGTAGTGTCAGCTTTCTCTGTACAAGAATGGGAATTGGTAGAATCCTTCACTTTCACATCCTTGACTGTTCCAGTAGTGACAGCTTTCTCTGTACGAGAATGGGAATTAGCAGGATCCTTGACTTTCACAGTCTTAAGTTTGTCTGTTCCAGTTGTGACAGCTTTCTCTGTACAAGAATGGGAATTAGCAGGATCCTTGACTTTCACAGTCTTAAGTTTGTCTGTTCCAGTTGTGACAGCTTTCTCTGTACAAGCATTAGAATTAGCAGGATCCTTCACTGTCACAGCTTTGACTCTTCCAGTAGTGACAACACTCTCTTTATTCAAAGGGGAATTGACAGGAGCCTTGACTGTCACAGAGGGAACAGTAGTGGCAGTGTGCTGTCCAGCAGAAGTGTATTTGGCAGCAGTCTTGGCTGTCACAGAAGATGCAACCTGAAAAGTCAGAAACACCATAGATCTATATAGTTTCATTTGTGGAACTGAGGAATAAAAGTCTCGATCATTAAAGAGTTTTTTTTAAAATATAGATTGGAATTTTTCACTTACTCTACTTGATATTAAAATTGATGGGATTAGCACATGTAAAAATGATATTTGCCTGTTCTACTTACATGTACATGAGCCTCCCTAAGAGTCAATTTATCTGGCATTAAGTCTGTCAGCTTTCCCGCCTCTCTTCGTTCACCACCAATTATCTGAATTAACATACAGTGGAACTAGACTTTTTCTTATAATTAAGATAAACGAGAGATAATGTGAATTGAAAATGCAGTGCTGTGTTGCAGTCTTTAATTTCTTTCATTAAGCAAAGATGATCATGACCAACACCTTGCTCTTACCTTATCAGTGACAGCACTCTGTTCTTGACAAGGAGGGTTGGTAGGAGTTTTGGCAGTTGGAAAGGGTTGAGTTGTGACAGACTGTTGTCCATCAGAATTAGGAGGGCTGGGACGAATTTCATCCCTCTGAGACGATGTTACTTTAACCTGAAAAGACGATTTTTAAATACAGAGTGGTTTAAAATCTTGATAATAATCTAATCAATAGATTGAATTTGCTATAAGAAAACTAAAGTTTTTGACAGAAAATTTTCTTTTTGTCTTGCAATTAAGATTCATGACATAAAAAATTTTGATAGTAGAGAAGCCTGTCCTTCTTACCATAGTCTCTCTAAGAGTTAACATATCTATCAGGTCAGCCAGCCTCTCCACCTCTCCATGTAGGCCATCAGTGATCTGAAAATAGCATACAAAGGAACTTTACTTTTTTCTTTTCATAAAGATTAAAAAATAAAAAAAAAACATGTGCGCAAAGATGTGTTGCTTTTAGGGTTAATTTTAAAACAGCAATGATAGCCATAAAGATTACACCTACCACGTCAGTGACAGCTTTCTGTTTGGGAAGAAAATGGTTTGGAGGATTCTTGGTGGTTGGAGAGGGTGCCGTTGTGACAGCTTTAGAGGGAATCTTGTCAGTAACCTGATAAGACAATTACACCGTGTGTACATGTGATTTAACTAAATCTTGGATAATGATACTAATAACAAATGATTTCTGTATTTGATCAGACAATTTTATTGACATGCTGAAATAAATATTTACAAGATTGACTTACATCAGCAGCCACTTGTGCTTCTGGCATCGGAGTGGACTATAGTAAAAGAAGAAGGCAGAAATTTTTGTCAGAGTCTTACTGAGTTGTAAAAATTGGGTAGTGATTAAAAAAAAAGCATTTGATTTTGTGGAAATTATGCTAATACTAGAGAATTCTATAAGGCAAAGAAAGTTTTAAAAATGTTTTATACCTCAACCCCTGTCTCTTTATAAGGAGGTGCAGAGTGCAGGTTTCTAATTTGTTGAGGCTTTTTAGCATCCCCAAAAGCCCATGAAGTTGCTGATAGATCTGCCAACCTCTCAATTTCTCCATGTTCAACAGTCAGAGAAGATGTTACTCCAACCTAATAAACAAGTTATACCCTGTGAATATGTCTGGTCAAAAAAATCATAATTTTTTCTTTACGAATATAATTTCAAATATTTTCTGACTTTAGGAGAAGACGACCTCCTCACAAATCTAGTTAAATTTTAAAAAGAATTACTTACATCACTAGCAGTCTTTGTGTCTGGCTTTGGAGTGGACTAGGATCAAGGAAAAGGGGAATATGAGACATTTTTACTGATGTGTAAAGAGGGAATGGCAAAAAGAAACATACAGTTTGAGATCCGTTTTAAGTATTTTCAATCGTCATAATGTTGGATTTTTGATTTGACATGATATTAAAAATTGTTATTTAGCATGGATTTTACTCATTTCTCTCAACTGCAATTGAAATTGATGGCATTGAAAGATGATATTAAAAATATAAAGGATGTCTCAGGTGGGCTTCCATTCAATAAATCATACTTAACTTGCTAAATTCTTATTTAGTCAATGCTTTGGAAAGTTTTATACCTTAACCCCTGTCTCTTTCTGGAGAACTGCAGAGCTGAAGTTCTTAATTTGAACAGGGTTGCTGGCATCCCCGAGAGCCAACACAACTGCCAATAGCTTCGCCAACTCCTCGACCTCTTCATGTCTGACAGTCGGAGAGGATGTATCGCCCACCTAATAAACAAGTAACACTGTGAACACATCTGGTTAAAAAAAAATTCAAACGTTTCCTTTTAACGGTCATAATTTAAATATTTTCTAACTTGAGAAGAGAAAAACTTACATCACCTGCAGCCTTTCTGTCTGGTACTGGAGAAGACTATGATCAGAAAAGAGGAAAAATATAAAACTCTTACTAATGTGAAAAGATGGAATGGCAACTTAGAAACGCATGCGAGTCAAGAAAGACCAAGGCTTTGAACCAAGAAATCATATTTTTTACTCTCTTATTTAAGAAATGACTTAAACACTGTTAAATATTTCTATACCTTAACCCCTGTCTCTTTCTGAGGAGCTACAGAGCTGAGGTTCTTAGTGTGTACTGGCCCCGCCGCCACCAAAAGTAGTTGAGTATAAAACTCAGCCTCAACTCTGACAAAATCCTCAAACCCATAATCTCAGCCTCAAGTCACCGCCACCAAATATTTGAGTACATATTCAAGTCAAAAATTTGATTACGTACTCAAATTATTTGAGGTAGATCTTGACCTTTCTCATGTAAATACTCAAGCAATACAAATGGCTGCTCACAGACGACATAAACGGCGCCGCCGGAGACAAGTGCGACATATTCGTAGAATTTCAAAAAGAGTAATACGAGACCGAATGAATCCATTAGAGATATATTCTTAGGATGAGATTTTTGATAGGTATAGGTTTAGACCACCAACTATCCTATATATTTTGGACAAAATCAGTCCAGCAATTATGCATAATACAACGAAGAACAGCGCCTTACCTCCAATCCTGCAGATTCTCACCTGCCTGAGGTTCCTAGCAACGGGGGCGTTTCACAGACTGGTCGGGGACAGCATTGGCGTGTCTGAAACAACTACTGGAAGATGTTGTCGATCAGTCTGTGATGCTATAGTTCATTTGCTGGCAGATTGTATCACCTTCCCCAAGGGTAACCGTGTCAGAGAAACAAAACAACAGTTTTTGAAAATAGCAGGTAAAAAAAACCGCATCTTTCCAATGAAATCAAATTATCAATGTCCTTTTCATTTTTCGTCTGCATTCTACTTTCGGTTTTGTTTTTCAAAGAAAGACAACTCCAATGAACAGACAACTCGTACAAGTTTACTACCTAGGCTTAGGTGCCTGTTATGAGTTCGTACTCTTTAGATTGCATGATAAGTCAAATAATAAGAAATATCTACTCAAATAACTTTAAAATAAGTTTTTTTTTCATATGGACGGCACAGACTTTTATGGTTTGAAAACATTCAACATGTTAGAGATACTTATAGAACTACACAAACGTAAATATGTATACTCGGTAGACCTCATTTTTACCTTACAAAATCTCTAGAATCCAGGAGCTTCCGGCCCCTGGAACCCCACTAGGGCTTTGCCCTGGACCCACTGGGGGCCGCAAGGCGGCCCCAGACCCCTTGCCTACTTTTGGCGCCCCCTCTAACTTCAATTCCTGGATCCGCGCCTGTACTCTCATTTTCAGTCCTTATTCGTCTACATGTACATGTATATGGAAAGGGGGATCCATACCCCAAGTGCTTGTGATTCTGATAGTTTGGTTTGCTTTCGGTAGGTTTCGTTTTGATTTCGATTCGTTAGGCCTTGATTTCGTTTTGTTTCGGAAGATGTGGCGTTTTAATTGTTTCACTTCATTTTTATTTCGTTTCACATTTTACAGGTACCCTTCGCCAGATAAGATATAAGATTTCATAACACAGTATTAAATGCTGTTATGCCTTAAAAATAGCTTTTGGCAATAATTAACAGATAAATGTTAACGTTATATGTATTAGTATTTATTTTTACCAGTATTATAGGTTTCATGTAATTTTTTTTTCTTAAATACAGTCATGTACATTTAATTTTCCAAGAAAATTACACTCGTAATTGAAACAATTAACGTTACAACTCATTACCCAGACTTGAATTGCTTGTATAAATAATCGAATTTGGATATCGCTCCTCGAACTGACGGACCAAAAACGCCTTCTTAATTTCAATTAACTCCTTTTCTGCCTGTAGTTTCTGCTTTTCAATTATCAATTTCTCAATTTGGAGCTTAATTTTTTTATTATCCAGTTTCATATTCTCCAAATCTTCTTCTTCATACGCATCCTTGATTCCTTTTCTCTTTGGCTTTTTAGAAGAGACTTGATGGCCAGTGGCTGCAGTCTTGGGGGTAGCAGATTCAGAGATGGCAGAAGATGTACAGGTGGCAGAAAATGTACAGGCAGAAGATGTACAGGCGGCAGAAGATGTACAGACAGAAGCCGTGCCGTTGTCAATTTCTGTTAAATTTATACACAGAATTTTAAATTTTTGTGAAATAAGAAGGTTGAGCAAAATTTGAAATAGAAAGCTTCATCTTATTTTTGTTTGTACCATCAGTTGCGTCCGTGTCTATGCCATCCGGCAGTCCGTATATCTGTGGTCGCCCTTCAAAGGCCTGCATCAAAGCGTCCTCGGAAGCTGTTAGGGAAGAAGGCGCCGGACCACCACCTGTCTTTGGCCTTCTCAACATGTCAATCTTTTCTTTACCTGGGTCAATACATGTCCTCTTAATCTATTTTAAATATGTCTTTATAAATTTGCATTTATTGAGCAGGCTTAGATAAGACAAATCAGTTACGAAAGCCCATTTTGCTCATTTTCATGGATTAAAAGAATTCGCGAAATAACTCGTAACTTTAACTCTAGAGCGAAACTTTCGTGTTATAACGGGAAACTTTTGCTGTTTAACCAAGACATTTACATAAGTATCCACTTTCTTGTTTGTGATCTAGTTTATTCAATACAATGAAGATTAAAGGCTATCTTTATCTTGGACCATCACAAGCAATAATTATAAGTTTTCTTGTAATTGAGTGTGTCTTTCCTGTTTCTAAATCTCGTTATAACGTGAAAAAAATATTTTTAACCTACGAAAATGAGCCCAACGATTTTTCATACATTTTCATTCATCCAGAAAAAAAATGTAATTTGCTTCATTCATGCAACAATGTCCATTCCAATTTACTACTTTAACGAAAACAAAAACTTTATAAAAATTGTGTCCATGGTATTACCTTTTATGTATTTAAC